AACACCACTTAGCAAGTATTACCCAGCCCTAATCTGATATCACTGATAAAATTGCCATCCTGAAAAGAGTTACACTTCTCTAAGCTATTACAATCAACCAGGAAGCAGTATTCTTATGGAGCAAAAACTGCTTCAATAACCAGTCATTCCTCAGGAGTTAGGTCTCTAAGAGGCTGATATACTTAAGGAAGCAGATATAGGAAAAGCTTCAAAAAGAGAGGAAATATTTCTCTTTATATATCACCTCAAAGCGTTTGTATTTTGGTGCATTGGACCTTTTTGTTTCTAGTTTCTGTTCGATATACATGATATATGTATCACTTCCCACTGCATATATTCAGGTGAGGTGAAATGGGGTTCAACATCGTGTCCAAGATTATTTCACTTAAATAGCAATGTGCATGCAAATGTGTCTGTGTGGCTGCTTGTACTAGTCCAGACTAATGCCGATTTTATAGTGCTAGCCCACTGAGATATCATGCCACAGTTTTACATGAATACCCCTCAGACAAAGTATACTGACTCCGAGTCGACCAGTCCTTGTAAAGCCCCTTAATTTTGAGACCCAGACAGGATAACAAAAAGTACCATCTTTTAATGTCTTTTGGTAAGATGCGTCTGGGGATCGAGACCCAGACCTTCCGCTCTCGGGGCGGACACTCTACCACTAGACCATGGTGGCAGTCCCATATATTCAGTGTTTCATTCATCTGTTCACAAACGCCATATTGAGTCGAGCAAGTTACAGGAAATGTCCAGCCCAGTGCTCTGCCACTTACCTTGCCGACTAGTGCTACATCATTTACATATTTCATATGTACATATTTCCCTGTCACTGTCAAACAGATATGCCCAATATCAGTCTGCAGGAATTGTGTCCTCAGGCATGAAAAGTGGACCAATCAATGTAATCTTTGTTCTCAATCAAACCATTCTTTAAGACCTCCCTCAACAGACGTATAAGTTCGGCTTGTAATCATGGTAATGCCAAGTACAAGTATAATTCTTCACCGATAACAGGGCCAAATAAGAAGAGGCTTTGATGTTGAGTCTTAGTGCATTGAATACAATGTAAAATATAATGTTAAAAGACCTCCTAATTAAAGAAAATAAATGACAAAAATATTTTTTTTAAATAACAATTTTTTTCCAATAAGCTTTTGAAGGGCATTAATTCAAAATCCTAGGGAAATCCCTGACGTATGCTGATGAAAATGACAAAATCACACAATTCTGGATTCCAATGCTGATCATCCCTTCCATTAACTATTTCTATCCTAGGTCGCTGGCAACAGCTGATACACCACAAGTCTCACCTACCTCAGGAGGCTGCACCTTCCCATTATGGATCATGGATGCTATAGCACGTGAAGCTGTAAAAATGACAACTGACACAGCCTCCTACCTAGGACAAGGGTGTGTAATTATTCCTGCAGTGGTCAAGCAGTATCATGGACACTTGGAAATAAAACATCTGTGCCAGACAAACCAGTGGCTGATAGCATGAGAACAGTAAGCCAGCAGCCCTGGGCAACGATTCTGCCACATGGGGTCAATGTGGAACATGGCAGAGAACATGGGCACTGGCTATCCTATTTAGGTATAATTTGCATCAAACGATGCATTACCCTGTTAACCTTGCCAGATCTGGAATAAGGCACCACTATCTCCCCTTATAGCAGCATTGGCGCAATTTCACAGCTTAAGGCCAAAAAACCCTGAAGGTCAATTTTGAGCTTGTAGTGCTCAAATAATTACTGCAGCAGTCTCTGGAGCCACATCCAAACCCCAGCAGTGTTTCTAGTGTCAGTGGTAGGCACCGCAGGTCTACAACCACCTGGTCCATAGCTCATTCCAGACTAGCAACGTTAGAACTTCACACTGGCCTGCTGGCTAAGGGCTAGTACAAATTCCCGCAGGCTAGTACAAATTCCCAACTGTTTTGATATTACAAGGGTATTATATCTTTACCCGGGCTAGTAAAGTTTTTTAGTTTAGTTCTACACCCTTGACTAGTGGTTCATGGAAAATAAAACTAGTCCCCCCAGAGTTTCACCTGTCTTAGACTAACAGGCTTATTGTCATGTCTATCCTTGTACTGTGCTGGCAAAGCTGAGAGTTGGAAAATTCCGTGATGTACCACATGTCACATTTCCCAGGGAATTGATCTGCCATGGGAACCAAGGACATGGAACAGGCTGACATACTCATGTTACACTGCACTTCAAGTTCACTATACTACAGTCACTGCTGTATTTCACAATCGCGAATGAAGTCAATATCCTGATTTTGTTTTGAACTGAAGCTGACTTTTATATTATTGTTTACTGAAAGTGTTTATCAGTATCATTACACAAGTGATCGCCAAATTCACTTCAATAAGTTATACCAACCATGGATAAGTTTGTCAGGAAAATGCCTGTCACAAGTCAAGGGCTCAATTTAAGGAACTAGACATAGCTTTCATATTGTGCACGTAGACATCACAACCTTGTTGGACAAAACTAAACCAGGTTGCATAATGGAACCTAAAAACTTTAGAATTATGTAATCAGTGTCATTAATATTCTGAAATTTTGAATTCACTGATGAGATCACTTTGAATGGACCAGACAATCCAGAGATTGACATCATGAGCTTCGATCCACGCAATTGGGATACAATGACATGCTTCAACAAAGTCAGCGAGTCTGACCACCCGATCCGGTTAGTCGCCTCTTACGGCGAGCATGGGTTGCTGAAGACCTACTCTATCCCAGATCTGCACAGGTCACACTGGGTGTATGTACATGATGTAGGGATATAACAGGTAGCACATATCAACATGAGATTGCAGTAGTGCACGTTTTAGATGGTGACGCAAGCACAATCGGGAAATCAACAATGTTTGTTGTTTAATGCCACACTCAGCAATATTCCAGCTACATGACGGCAGTCTGTAAATGATATAGTCTTGTCCAAACAGTCCAGTGATTGACATCATGAGCATCGATCTTCGCAAATGTGTTATGATGAAATGCATCAACCAAATCAGCAAGTCACCTGATCCAGTTAGTCACCTGTTACAACAAGCATAGGTTGCTGAAGACCAATTGTAACCAAGATCTTCACAGGTGAAATCAATAATGATTTGTATCAGAAAAAGAACCCCAGGTCAGGTTCAGGGGTAAAAAATGCCATTGCCAGACATTCTCCATCATTCATTCATATTTTCAAGTTGAACACCTCAATTCATGACTGATCCATCTTGACTGCTCCAGCAGTGTGTGAATATAACCTCAAAGATTGACTTAATTATGCTCTGGATGACTGTCAGCAACAGATGTTTGACATGGACACAGAACTTATGCTGCACTGACTGGTACCCATCCTATTCCAGGCCAATCCAGGATTTAATAAGATTTTCAAATTAAGTGCAGACATTATGAACAAATTAATTATTTTGTTCAATACTTGGATTATTTTTAAGTTATTATTTTCAAAGATTCAGAGGTATTTCAACATTGTATACATTGCATTTAATACAATCATATAATATTAAGCTTAGCCATTAGCTTCTTCCTTTATCATGCATATTGGTCTCTAGAAGGCCACAACATTAGTTATTACTTTATCATCATGAATGCAGGTTTCTTATTCCAATTTGGGAATATGTACTGACATTTACTGATTTTGGTCCAATATCTGTACCTTAGACTAACATATACATGATATAGTCTCTGAAATGAACATATCGTACAGAACAAACAGTTGCTCAGTTATCTTAATAAAAATTTAATAAAAAGGGAGCCTAGTGATTCTCTTCATTTTCAGATACTGCAGTAATCTAGACTTGCCAAACATTATAGACTTGCATGGGCTGTAGTTGATATATTTTTATCAGGGTCTGTAAGACAGACTATGTGTACCTGGATAGCCATAGATAAATCCATATTGACAGATTTAGTGCAATGATTGAAACTGAGCCTTTATGTGATTACTTAAATAATTAACTAATAGCTCAATGCACATCATAAAATTTGAGTTAGCAGTCAAATGCCTATTGAACATCATGAAAATAATTTGAAGGTGCTGCCAATATTACTCAAAGTTAAGTAGCTGTCACCATAATTTTGATCAAAACATCCTAATTTTTAAAATATAAAAATACATGTATTAAAAATCCTTTGGTTGAATTGTAGATGCAAAAACGCACATGGGGCCAAGAGTTGTAGATCTAATTACAAAATTACTCTGTTAATTACAGTTTTTGCAGCAACTTTATATCTTGAATATATTACATGGTGGTCTTTTATGAATTGCCCATTGTAGACAAGTTATTCAAAACTAATAAATATTTTGGCAAATTTGAACAATTTTCACTAGCAACAGCATCTCACCTGAATTGATCAGGTTATTCTTGCCTTATTGCTCACATAATATATGTCATGGGCAGATAAGTTACAGCAAATATATTGACATTCCATGGCCAGCTATGAGTTTGGATAATGAACACAAAATTCATGTCTGAAAGAATAAGCTTCCATAGACACAGACCAGCAGGTGTTGTATCACCAAGTTTTGGTAACAGTTGGTGGAAAAACACTTCAACATTGTTCAAGTTCATAACATGTTCCAAATATATACAGTTATTCAAAAGATCTACACGTGAATTAAAACTCATGTCATTGTCAGGGAACAAGATATTTTCTAATTTGTCTTCTTGAAACGTTATGGAGTTCTGATTTGAGAATTACTACTGACATACATATATACACACACACATATATAGACTAGGCCTATGTGTCAACCCTCCTAGTTACAAGGGCTCTTATCCATAAACATGTTAAAACATATTCATGAAAAATGATAAATTAAAACAACGATAAATAAACACTGAACACTAGTTCCTTCTTAAATCAATCAAAACAGTTTACAAAAATTCATCTTATACTGAATGAAATCTATTATATGTGTAATTGTTATGATCTATTTGTGATCTCGACAAGTTGTCAACTCACTGAAGAAGACGCGATAGTCCAGACTGTTTGGTGCACCTCGCTCAACGATGGAGTACGACATGTTGCAAATGGGAGTGAATCGACACAAGTGGTTAAGAATAACAGTTGTACGTCTTGCGTGGACAGACGGCGACAGAAGACTGACACACCTGGAAGAGCTACCAGTAATCAATGACCTGTATAAGGTGCGCGTAACACCACAGGCACCACGTTGCATTGAAAATAGCCGGCGCGAACCTGCGCACGCAGACGGTAGCGCCATCTCTAAGTTTATCTAAGGGAGGTCACTACCACGTACTATTTCGCGCACCTGCTGTGTTTCCTTGTTGATGTTTCTTGTTCACGTACGTAGGATCGTATCATATGTAAATTTAATAAATGTTCAACCGTTTTACAAAAAATAAAATAATAAAAAATAATAATACATCAACAATGGCATATTTAAACATAAGAAAATGTTGAAGATAAAACGTATGTGTATTCTTTATTGAAATTGACAAGGTAGACACAATTTTATGAATTTTTAAAAATTGAAAATGAAGTTTGTACGTCACGTCTTTGAATACGTTGATCTGCATTGAGAACTTTGTACTTCACAGAGTCACGAGATATATGGATTTACACTTTTGTAATTTAGTGATATTTTATTTCATTTTTTCGATGCGAACGTGGTTACAAACTTACGAAAAAACGAATATCTAATTCGGACCGATGAAACCTATTTGGTTGTGATTCAGAGACACATGGTTATGATACAGTCGGAATTGAACAATGAACTCTGCATTTAACAGAGAAGTCCTATGATTGTGGAAAATGTTTTGTCGTTTATATTTAAGAAATGGTAGAAAACCTGTTAAAGCAGTTAATTCTTTGGGGTGACTTTTAATGTTTATAGACGTTTTTTATGTATATTTTATTTCTACATGGAAATGTTTTTTTGATGTGTGTTATCTTTCCTTGCGGGTGTGATAATAGTCGGTAAAAGTGCAAGTTCACTTCAAACTCAGGGAAACTTTAATAAATGAAACAACTTCGTGTGCATAATTGGAATCCCAAATGTCTACTTCGTGTGAAACTGTTACAGATATCAATACTATTTGTTAATGCGTTCTACATGTACATACATTTTACACATGGGACATAGACATGGTCCCAGCTTGCAGACAAGGGTTTTCAATGATTTTCAGTGATCCATTCATATATTTTTCACCGCTATTTTGCATATTACGCACAATGGAATATGTTTGTTTTTAAAATAGAGATTGCTTTTTCTCTGGCATTAACGTTTTTTTAATATATCTATAACCATGGTTGTTTACGACATGAGTATTGGTTGAAAACAACATCTGGTGTTATATAATAGCAAATTATATTTTGATATGCCTGTAATGTCTTGGTCATGGATATTTGATATTGACCGGGCCACACATTTCAGCAAGATGTGGTTTAAATAATATTTTATTCAGGAACCAATAGTTAGAATTAATTACCTATAAATATTTATATGTCTCTTCAAATAACACGTGTTTTACTACACAAAAATGTTCAACAAACAAAAGTTGATGTTTACCGTTATACTTGCCTTTTAAGCCAGATGCGAATTGTTTTAAAATAGTCCATTTAGCCATAAAGTATTGAAGACCTTCTTTAGTTGACCACAAAATAGCTTTCACGCGTGCAGACCATCAGAAATTGTATACTGTATTTCATATTATTTTGTTATCTAAGACTTTAAATATCCATATCGAAAATCAATCACTAACAAGACAAACTGATCACTTCATAGGAAACTGTTTGTATTTGGATTATTTTATTTGAAACATGAATACTTTTGTCTTACGACAAATGTGACTGTAACACTGTGTTAAAAATAAGTGAAACGGGGATCATCCGAAGATTGTAACTACAGACAGTACCAGGTCATGAGTGAGTGAGTGAGTGAGTGAGTGAGTGAGTGAGTATGGTTTTACGCTGCTTTTAGCAATATTCCAACAATATCACGGCGGGGGACACCAGAAATGGGCTTCACACATTGTACCCATGTCGGGAATTGAACCCGGGTCTTCGGCGTGACGAGCGAACGCTTTAACCACTAGGCTACCCGACCGGCCCGGTACCAGGTCATAGGTAAACATGACATAGGTGTGTTGATTTTCACATGTATATGTTATGTAGAGAGCATGCATCGCTCAATTATGATATCCCCTGATTTCTTGTATTATGAAGTTCAAATCAAATAACGAAAAATAGGATCAGGAGATATATATTGTGTGTATTTCATTTGGGCAGACACAGTTGTATAGACGCATCTTATTATTTTCATGCGTTTGACATAACCCTGTTTGACATGTTTGACCAAGTTTGACATAACCCTGATATGATTATTATGATAAGAAAGGGCTAAAGCGGAATCAAAGTTACTTTTGACCTGACTACTTGAGAGATCTGACAATTTTTAAGGTAAACATCCTTTCAGAATTATAACGGGCGATTGGTGTCACATGTTAATTTAACAGTGATATATATAGATAATTTCATGCACACCAACAGGTCTACTGTAAACACATAATAATTAATGTCGACAATTGAACAACCAGCTACTACCTTTACAGGTGAGAAGAAGGCCACATGAAGATCTGAAACCTTTACAACCGTATGCCAAAACTGAACAGGAGAAGTAGAATACTGTAAAAATGTATATGCTTATACTTGTACTCCGAAACGTTGTGTTCCTTATAATAAAGAAGTTGACATCAATAAATTTTCTTCCTCATGTGTATCACTTCTAAATGCCTTTCAAAGACTTGAAAACTGAAGGGGAATGGTTTGAGCCCAATGGAGAGTGACCTGAGCCTTGAGTGTGTGTTTTGGCCTAGTAGAGGGGAGTGATCTGAGCCTGGAGTGAGTGTTTTGGGCCTAGTAGAGGGGAGTGACCTGAGCCTTGAGTGAGTGTTTTGGGCCTAGTAGAGGGGAGTGATCTGAGCCTGGAGTGAGTGTTTTGGGCCTAGTAGAGGGGAGTGATCTGAGCCTGGAGTGAGTGTTTTGGGCCTGGTAGAGGGGAGTGATCTGAGCCTGGAGTGAGTGTTTTGGGCCTGGTAGAGGGGAGTGATCTGAGCCTGGAGTGAGTGTTTTGGGCCTAGTAGAGGGGAGTGATCTGAGCCTGGAGTGAGTGTTTTGGGCCTAGTAGAGGGGAGTGATCTGAGCCTGGAGTGAGTGTTTTTAGTAGAGGGGAGTGATCTGAGCCTGGAGTGAGTGTTTTGGGCCTAGTAGAGGGAGTGATCTGAGCCTCGAGTGAGTGTTTTGGGCCTAGTAGAGGGGAGTGACCTGAGCCTTGAGTGAGTGTTTTGGGCCTAGTAGAGGGGAGTGACCTGAGCCTTGAGTCAGTGTTTTGGGCCTAGTAGAGGGGAGTGACCTGAGCCTTGAGTGAGTGTTTTGGGCCTAGTAGAGGGGAGTGACCTGATCCTTGAGTCAGTGTTTTGGGCCTAGTAGAGGGGAGTGACCTGAGCCTTGAGTGTGTGTTTTGGCCTAGTAGAGGGGAGTGATCTGAGCCTTGAGTGTGTGTTTTGGCCTAGTAGAGGGGAGTGATCTGAGCCTTGAGTGAGTGTTTTGGGCCTAGTTGAGGGGAATGACCTGATCCTTGAGTCAGTGTTTTGGGCCTAGTAGAGGGGAGTGACCTGAGCCTTGAGTCAGTGTTTTGGGCCTAGTAGAGGGGAGTGACCTGAGCCCGGAGTGAGTGATTTGGGCCTAGTAGAGGGGAGTGACCTGAGCCCGGAGTGAGTGATTTGGGCCTAGTAGAGGGGAGTGATCTGAGCCTGGAGTGAGTGATTTGGGCCTAGTAGAGGGGAGTGACCTGAGCCCGGAGTGAGTGATTTGGGCCTAGTAGAGGGGAGTGATCTGAGCCCGGAGTGAGTGATTTGGGCCTAGTAGAGGGGAGTGACCTGAGCCTTGAGTGAGTGTTTTGGGCCTAGTAGAGGGGAGTGACCTGAGCCTGGAGTGAGTGTTTTTGGCCTAGTAGAGGGGAGTGATCTGAGCCTTGAGTGAGTGTTTTGGGCCTAGTAGAGGGGAGTGACCTGAGCCTTGAGTCAGTGTTTTGGGCCTAGTAGAGGGGAGTGACCTGAGCCTTGAGTACGAGTTTTGGGTCTGGTAGAGGGGAGTGACCTGAGCCTTGAGCGAGTGTTTTGGGCCTAGTAGAGGGGAGTGACCTGAGCCTTGATTGAGTGTTTTTGGGCCTAGTAGAGGGGAGTGACCTGAGCCTTGAGTGAGTGTTTTGGGCCTAGTAGAGGGGAGTGACCTGAGCCTTGAGTGAGTGTTTTGGGCCTAGTAGAGGGGAGTGACCTGAGCCTTGAGTACGAGTTTTGGGTCTGGTAGAGGGGAGTGACCTGAGCCTTGATTGAGTGTTTTGGGCCTAGTAGAGGGGAGTGACCTGAGCCTTGAGTGCGAGTTTTGGGCCTAGTAGAGGGGAGTGACCTGAGCCTTGAGTGAGTGTTTCGGTCTGGTAGAGGGGAGTGACCTGAGCCTTGAGTGAGTGTTTTGGGCCTAGTAGAGGGGAGTGACCTGAGCCTTGATTGAGTGTTTGGGTCTGGTAGAGGGGAGTGACCTGAGCCTCGAGTGAGTGTTTTGGGCCTAGTAGAGGGGAGTGACCTGAGCCTTGAGTGAGTGTTTCGGTCTGGTAGAGGGGAGTGACCTGAGCCTCGAGTGAGTGTTTTGGGCCTAGTAGAGGGGAGTGACCTGAGCCTTGAGTGAGTGTTTGGGTCTGGTAGAGGGGAGTGACCTGAGCCTCGAGTGAGTGTTTTGGGCCTAGTAGAGGGGAGTGACCTGAGCCTTGAGTGAGTGTTTTGGGCCTAGTAGAGGGGAGTGACCTGAGCCTTGAGTGAGTGTTTTGGGCCTAGTAGAGGGGAGTGACCTGAGCCTTGAGTGAGTGTTTTGGGCCTAGTAGAGGGGAGTGATCTGAGCCTTGAGTGAGTGTTTTGGGCCTAGTAGAGGGGAGTGATCTGAGCCTTGAGTGAGTGTTCTTAGTAGAGGGGAGTGACCTGAGCCTTGAGTGAGTGTTTTGGGCCTAGTAGAGGGGAGTGACCTGAGCCTTGATTGAGTGTTTGGGTCTGGTAGAGGGGAGTGACCTGAGCCTTGATTGAGTGTTTGGGCCTAGTAGAGGGGAGTGACCTGAGCCTTGATTGAGTGTTTGGGTCTGGTAGAGGGGAGTGACCTGAGCCTGGAGTGAGTGTTTTGGGCCTAGTTGAGGGGAGTGGCTTTAACCTTGAGCGAGTGTTTTTGGCCTAG